CAGGACACTTTTTCAAATTTCCTGCTTCAATGAAAAGTCTGCCAGATTCTATGGGCCTATAGGCTGAAGATGGATGTCCCAACAGTGCAAAGGAACTTTGGGTGACTGTCCAAGCAGTCAGATATGTCTGTCATTCATAGAGTTTTTGGAATTTGTTTGCAATGCACTTTTTGTTTACTCAAAAAATGTTATCCTTCTGGGGGTCTTTGATGGAGCTGAAGATCAGACAGTTAGAGTTGCAGTTTTCCTTAGTTATGACAGAGAGCAAATTAGGTATAAAACTATAGATTCAGTAAGATAGGACAGATGATGAGATGTTTTAATTTGCTAGACACAAATGAACTAGAATTCATTACATTGTGAATGTAATCTTTACCTAATAATTGTTCTTATTGTATACAGTCTTACTATGTTAAAGTTAAAATTTTTCATTTTGTTTAGAAAGAAAAAGGGAGATGTTGGGGAATATTATTTTCAGGTGTGTGACTTTTGTCTACACTGCATTTGTCAACTCTGTGAAACTGCATTACTGTGCCTGTCTAAAACACCTGATGGTCCTAATAAAGAGATGAACAGCCAACAGCAAGGCAGGAGCAAGGATAGGTGGGGCTGGCAGGCAGAGTATAAAAGGAAAAACAAGAAGCAAAAGAATGAGGAGAGGAGGACATCAGGGGACATCCACCAAGTTACACAGCAAGCCATGGTGAAAAAAGTAAAGTAAGGTATACAGAAATAGAGAAAGGAAAAGCCCAGAGGCAAAAAGTAGTTGGGATAATTTAACAAAAGCTAGCAAGAAACAATCTACACTAAATTCGGGCATTCACAAGTAATAATATGCCTTCCTGTGATTTATTTGGAAACTAGGTGGTGGGCCCCTTAAAAAGTTGAAAGAGTAAAGCACCCACAATAGGGGAAATAGATGGGAAAGGGAAGGGAATGGGAGCAGAGGAGGAAGGGTAAACTGGTTGGTGTATAAAATAAATGAAAAAAATGTTATTTAAATAAAAAGATAAAAGTCTTTAAAAAAGAATAGCAAAAGGTATCAAAATTTATTTCAAGAATTTAATAAATTTTAAACACATAGTCAGAAGAACACACACAAAAACAAGACACCTATATTCCACAACTTTGATCCAGTTTTTCCAGCCTCCCTTATGATCATTATGAAAGATAGTCAAACTATACTGGTAAAGAAAGTCAAAATAAGGACCCCCCCCCAAAAAAAATGAATATAAAATCGTCTGGGGATTAACAGTAGTTGAGGGTAATCAACTGAAGTGAATGGCTGCTATAGTGGTTTAAATAAAATTGGCCCCCACAGGCTCACAGGGAGTAGCATTATTTGAAAGGATTAGGACATACAGCCTTGTTAGAGTAGACGTGGCAAGGTTGGAGAAAGTGTGTCACTGGGGTTGAGGGGTAGGTTTTGAGATTTTAGAAGGTCAACACAACCCAGTATCATAATCTTCCTGCTGCCTGCCATTTCAGATATAAAACTCTCAGCTACCTCTCCAGTACCAGGTCTGCCTATACGCCTCTACACTCCCTGCCATGACAATGGACTAAACCTCTGAAACTGTAGGCCAGCACCAATTAAATATTTTTCTTTATGAGTTGTCAATGGTCATGGTGTCTCTTCATAGCAATAGGATAATGACTAAGACAGCTGCGATAACTGGTTGATTCAGTACAGTAAACTTATACTATTTTAAAGTGCTTAATAAACCAACTGAGTGAATCTTCACATGGGGCTTATACTACTTTAAAATAAATGTTTACAAGAAAGAAACGCATGAAGAAAATATACTTTTCTTAAACCCTCTTCAGAATATATTTAAGATCACTTTCCTGGGCATGGTAGTACACTCTGTAATCAAAGCACTTAGGAAATATAAGGAAGATGATCAGAAGTTCAAGGTCATCTTCAGCAACCTAAGAAGACTACAGAAGGCCCCATCTCCAAAGGGAGGGGGATAAAGGGGATCATTTTAACAGTTTTGAGCTTTCATTCCTGTTTTCATTCTAGTACTTAAGAGCCTGAAAGCTGAAAGATTAGTCTATGAGTGATCTGGGCTACATAGTACAACTCTGTCTCAAAGCACAAAACAAAACATAAGAGTTTGGAAATAGTAATTAAAGCCAGGCTATGGTAGCACACAGGTCTTTAATCCCAGCTCTCAGGAGGCAAAAGCAAGTAGATCTTTGAGTTTAAGGCCAGTCAGGTCTACAGAACAAGTTCCAAGACAGTCAAGGCTACACAGAGAAACACAGTCTCTAAAAAACAAAAGGGGGGGTAAGAAAGAGGAAGAAGGAAGGAAGGAAGGAAGGAAAGAAGGAAGGAAGGAAGGAAGGAAGGAAGGAAGGAAGGAAGGAAGGAA